TTAACACTTACTCTCCATATATTATTTTAGAACTTTAAAGATTGAATTTTTTTTATATAACAAAAATGGGGAGAAGTATGGTTTGAAAAATTCAATTTCTTAAAGAAAAGGGTGAGCTGAACATTTTCATATATTTTCTAACAATTGGTAAAAATTGTTATCTTTTTCATTAAACATTTTATTAAGGGGGAGTTTTGCCAAAAACAATTTTTCAAATGTTTTGTTATATCAAAAAGAGGAGAGTGTTGAACTATATTTTGATATAACAATTTATGACAGAATGTTTTTGGACTTAAATTGAATTTATTCAAAGTTTTCAAAAAATAATTCAAAGTCCATTTAATTTGGAATTGAGCACAAAAATGTTTTATGAATAGTAATGTACTGTATAAATAGTACCGATACTGTATGAATAGCATCGATACTATGTGAACAGTAATGAACAGTACCGATGCTAACAAATTCTAGAATGCAAAATGGGTATCGATACCTCTACAGTAATTTCAAGCCCAACGGTCATAAAATTCAAATATTTCGAAGGTAGTACCGATACCCATTGAAAGAGTATCGATACCACTTGTTTTGGGCTGTTTTATTTTGCAGAAAATTAATCCCCATCGGCTCTAAAACATCCCCAACGGCTAGATACGACTTCAACTCATTTCAAGCCATAAATACAAGTTCAAGACACTTGAAGAACATAGAGAACACCTATCCAAGTATTCAAACACAAGAGAAGAGTTTTTCAATCTTATTTTTCTATTCTCTTGAAAATATTGTGTTCTTGTGAGCTTAAATTTTGTAAACACCCTACCTTTGAGAGGTTTTCTTCTTTACTTCTTTTATCCTTTTGTAAAAGGAAAGGTTATAGCTGAGCTCTTGAAAAGCTAGGGATAAGGTTCTAGTTTAGCCCGTGAAAAACTAGGGAGTTGTAAATGTTATCTCTTTGTCTTGTAAAAAGAAATAACAAATTAGTGAATTTATTGAAAAATCCTTGGTGAGGAGCTAAGGTAGTGGATGTAGACTTGGTTGAGAAGTCGAACCACTATAAATCGCTGTGTAATTTTCTATCTTTAAATTTCCTTACTCCATAAACATAAAAACCGACCCGACCCCTCTTGGCGAACTCTTTCGGTTGTCGATTCGAGCTTTCGCAAATCCTAACAAACCGGTTAAAATAAAATAGGCGCTATCTATTATGTTAAGCTACTTTCCAATTTGTTTGAAGGTTACTAATAATGTAAACGGTAAAATAAAATAGGCGTTACCTATTGCGTTAAAATACCTACTAGTTTATTTAAAGGTTACTAATAATGTAAACGGTAAAATAATAGGCACTACCTATTACGTTAAACTACCTACCGGTTTGTTTAAAGGTTACTAATAGTGTAAATGGTATAATAAAATAGACGTTATCTATTACGTTAAACTAGCTACCGGTTTGTTTAAAGATTAATAATAATGTGTACGGTAAAATAAAATAGGCGCTACCTATTACGTTAAATAGGCGATACCTATTATGTTAAATAAGCACTACCTATTACGTTAAATAAGCGCTACCTATTATGTTAAATAAGCGCTACTTATTACGTTAAATAAGCGCTACCTATTACGTTAAACTAGCTACCGATTTTTTTAAAAGTTAATAATAATGTAAATGGTAAAATATATACAACTTAACCATTTGAAATAAAAATTCGATAGTATGGATACTTACTCTAAAAGTATGGATACTCTAAAGGTTAATAATAATGTATCCATGGTTACTCTATAAGTATGAATATTGTTTTGACAGTAATGTAAACGGTACAATATATACAATTTAACCGTTTGAAATATTTTTTTAAAATTTGAAAGTATGAATACTTTCTCTAAAAGTATGGATACTCTAAAGGTTAATAATAATGTATCCATGATAGTAATGTATCCATACTTACTCTAAAAGTATTGATATTTGCTAAAGTATCGACCATCAGATCATAGTAGTATCAATATTTATTTTAAAAATAATTGTCATCCAAAGATACATAATATATTAAATCCTCCTGATATCAGTAAACACAACTTTATTATTCCAGATTGCAACCTACTTCTTTATTCAAAATAACATTATTGGACACAACTTAGTATGTTAATATTTATTTATAACAAAATAAGAAATTAACATATTTTGTTGTCGTGAGATTTCGAAGGCCCCATCACCTTAAACTTTGGTAACATTTTAGGCACTACCTAATAAGTTGATAGTATTAATAACAAAATAAGTAATTAACCTATTTTGTTATCGTCCAATTTCTAAGGCCCCATCAGCTTAAACTTTGATAATATTTTAGGCGTTACCTAATATGTTGATAATATTAACAACAAATTAATCTATTTTTTATAGTCGGATTTCTAAGGCCCCATCAACTTAAAAAGACGCTACATATTACATTAAATAAGAACTACTTGTTATGTTATTATGGTTGATAATGTTTCCAACAATTAACCTATTTTGTTATCGTCGAATTTCTAAGGCTTCATCAGCTTAAACTTTGGTAACATTTTATGTGGTACCTAATATGTTGATAATATTGATAACAAATTAAGTAATTAACCTATTTTGTTATCGTCAGATTTTTAAGGCACCATCAACTTTAAAAAGACGTTACCTATTATATTAAATAAGCGTTACTTGTTATGTTATTATGGTTGATATGTTTTCAGTAATTAACCGGTTATATTATCGTCGGATTTCTAAGGCTCCATCAACTTAAACTTTGGTAACATTTTAGGCGCTACCTAATATGTTGATAATATTGATAACAAATTAAGTAATTAAACTATTTTGTTATCATCAGATTTCTAAGTCCCCATCAGCTTTAAAAATGCTTTACCTATTACGTTACATAAGCGCTACCTGTTATATTATTATTATTGATAATGTTTCTAGTAATTGACCGGTTATGTTAAAGTCAATATTTTTTGGCGCATTTTACATACGACGATAATATTCCCGGTCGTTACCATTATTATTACCAACACAAACAACATTTCCTGCGAAAACATATAACATTTTTTAGCACTTTTAAACTATCATCTATTTAATCAGTCATATTATATTTTACCCGTATATTAGTTCGCCTCGTAGCAGAATCAAATGTAAGGTTCCCTTCTTCTGCGTAGATATACAGTGTATTTGGTTTCTAACACAATTCTCTTTATATCCTCATATTTATTGATTCTAAAGCTCGATCATTATTTATCGTTTCGCTCTCCATTGTATTCTTTCATTTCCGCTGTTGATTGTTTGTAATGTTTTTTTTAGGGTTTGCTTAGCCGATTTTATGTTTTTCTACTTGCGACTTCTTGTATATAAGCCATTTTTCGGGGAAAACAACATTTTTATTAGAATTGGTTTTATATTTTATGGTAAACTACTTCAAATACCACTCATTTTTAGTTTCGGGCTCGTTTATGCCACAAACGTTTAAATTTTGTCAATTGTAACACTAACATTTAAGTTTAACTGCAATTATGTCACTCTGCCGTTAATGGATTATTGGCACGATGACATGACATCTTCGTGCGGTGACGATGCTCCCTCACTAAAACGACGTCATTTTGACATGACTGTGTTTGGTGCTAAAAAACCCAAAATTATGTCGTTTTGTTTGAGAAAATTTAATAAAATTGTACTTTTGAGGGGATTTGAACTTAATACCTTTTGAATAAAAAACAAGGGTTAACCACTACACCAACTTAAAGTATTTAATTAATTTTACAAACATAATATAAATAACATGAGTTAAGATTCCAAAAGTTACTTTCTAAAAAACCCATGAAATTATTAAAATTTTCAAAAAACACCTTAAATTCCAGAAAATCTCAAAAAAACTCCTAAATTTCTAAAAATCTCAAAAAAATCATAAACTCTAAATTGTAATCCCTAAAAATCATAAGATTTATTTTTTAGAATGAATTTAGGGATTACCAAAAAATCATAAACTTTAAATCGTAATCCCAAAAAATCATAAAAATCATAAGATTTTTTAAAATTGAATTTAGGGATTACCAAAAAATTATAAACTCCCTAAAAATGAATCTTATGATTTTTAGGGATTTTGATTTAGAGTTTATGTTTTTTTTTGAATTTTTAGGAATTTAGGAGTTTTTTGAGATTTTCTAAAATTTAAGGTATTTTTTGGGAATTTTAATAATTTCATGGGTTTTTAGAAAAACTCCCTAAAAATGAATCTTATGATTTTTAGGGATTATGATTTAGAGTTTATGTTTTTTTTGAGATTTTTAGAAACTTAGGAGTTTTTTGAGATTTTCTAAAATTTAAGGGTTTTTTTTTTAGAATTTTAATAATTTCATGGGTTTTTTAGAAAGTAACTTTTGGAATCCTGACTATGTTAGGTATATTATGTTTATAAAATTAAATAAAAACTTTAAGTTGGTATAGTGATTAAGCCTTGTTTTTTTTTATTCAAAAGAGGTATTGAGTTCAACTCCCTTCAAAAACATATTTTTACTAAATTTTCTCAAATAAAACTATGTCGTTTTGGGTTTTTTAGCACCAAACACAGTAGTCATGTCAAAACGATATCGTTTTGGTGAGTGAGCAACGTCACAGCACAGAGATGCCATGTCATCGTGCCGTTAATCCATTAACGGTGGAGTGACATAATTGTAATTAAACTTAAATATTAGTGCTAAAATTAACAAAATTGAAACGTAGGTGGCATAAACGAACCCGGACCTAAAGGTGAGTGGTATTGAAGTAATTTACCCTATATTTTATACATGGTGCAGATTTTGATGGCGTCAAAGCTGCTTCACTTTCAATCTAAGGCCTCTGAAGAGTCGAAGATATTATAAAGTGGCTTTTTAGGTTATTTGAAAATATTAAAATTTTCGATGGAATGTTGCAAATAAAAAGAGAAAAGAAAAAAACCTACACTTTTTTCTTTTTAATGCTTCCCGATAACATATTTCAAAACTTCAAAATAGAATGTGTAACCACACATTTCAAAACTCTCTCACCTGCTGAGTCTGCGAGGCCAAGCCACACAGGGAAGGAGAAAGAGAGTTGATGGAGGTGACATCAGGAGAGGGCAAGAGCAACGGCAACTGCATCAACAAGTCTACACATGAACGGCGAGTAGGCTTAATTTACGATCAGAGAATGTGTAAGCATCGAACTCCTTATGGTGATGATCATCCCGAGAAACCTGATCGAATCACCGTTATTTGGAATCGGCTCGAACTCGCCGGCATTCCCCAAAGGTAACATTTTGAAATTTTCGGCCACTAATCTGATATTCTCTTTCGTTTTCTCGCCGTTTATTTGCACTGAGGAATTTTTCGAGTTACTTTTTTCGAGTAATAAGTAAACGGTAACGTTTTGAAATTTTCAGCCACTAATCTGATATTTTCTTTCGTTTTCTCGCTATTTGCGCTGAGATTTTTTTTGAGTTATTTTTTGCGAGTAACAAGTAAATGAAAATTATCTATATTGCAAAATTCATTTCGAATCTTCATCGTACTATCTTTGGTAACCAATTGTTATCATAAACCCTAAAACCCTAAAACCCTAAATTTATCCTCACATTTCCTTTTCTGACTTTATGTTTTAGATGTGTGGTTTTAAATGCTAAAGAAGCCGAGGATAAATACCTTTGCGGTGTTCACTCCAAAAACCATGTTAATCTGATTCGTAATATAAGCTCTAAACAGTATGATTCAAGGCGAAATCGGATTGCATCCAAGTTAAATTCTATTTATTTAAATGAAGGATCATCTGAGTCTGCTTACCTCGCTGCCGGCTCTGTCATTGAGGTACATTATAAAATTGTCTGATAAACATTAGATTCACATTTTAAAGTTAAAAATGTCAAAACAGATTTAATTATTTTTGGTCATATAGGTTGCTGAGAGAGTGGCAAGAGGGGAATTGAATTCTGCTTTCGCTATTGTTAGGCCGCCTGGACATCATGCTGAATATGATGAAGCGATGGGATTTTGTTTATTCAACAACGTAGCTATAGCAGCTAGTTTTCTACTTGATCAAAGGGTGAGAAGTGAGAGCTAGTTTTTATTATTCAGGGTTATTTTCCTATTTTATACACAAAATTGTTAAGTGTTAATGGAAAGTGACAATATTGCATTTTTAATTAATTTTTGTTTTCCACTTTCAGCCTGAACTTGGTATAAACAAGATTTTGATAGTTGATTGGGATGTTCATCATGGTAATGGTACGCAAAAAACTTTCTGGAAGGATCCTCGTGTTCTGTTCTTCTCTGTTCACAGGTACATGACTAATATAACCCATTTTCTTATCAAGTTGTGTATGATCTTACTTTTGATTTTCTTGAGGCAATTGTAGATGCTCTCGGTCGATTTTCATATGTTTAAGGATAAGATTAGTGTTGTTCATCTAATAGCCTTTTGTTTGTTGCTAAGCTTGTTCACCTTTTTCAGGAAAAAAATTCCAGGCCTTCAAATAGAATATGGACTTATGACATTTAATCAAACATGACCTCCATGGCCACTATAATTTTTTTTCTTGCAGGCATGAGTTTGGGAGTTTCTACCCTGCTAATGATGATGGGTTTTACACTATGGTTGGAGAAGGACCAGGTGCCGGATATAATATAAATGTTCCTTGGGAGAATGGCCGGTGTGGGGATGCTGACTATCTTGCAGTTTGGGACCATATTTTAGTTCCTGTTGCCAAGGAATTCAATCCTGACATAATTCTAATATCTGCAGGATTTGATGCAGGTTTGATGGTTATAAATAACTTACCTATTGAGATTGACAATTGTTGGTGTTTCAGATGCTTTAAGTCTCTCCATCATCATAAATGTTACTTACATGTTTGTAACAGCTGTTGGTGATCCTCTAGGGGGATGTCGGGTAACACCATATGGATATTCGGTTTTGCTGAAGAAGGTTAATAATCATGTTCTTAATATTTTGAAATGAGACTTACAATATTGCTCCTTTTATGTATCTAAAAGGATTTTTTCTATATATTTTGCATTTAAAGTAACTTCTTTTTTCTAGTTGATGGATTTTGCTCAAGGGAGGATTGTTTTGGCACTAGAAGGAGGATACAATCTTGATTCTATTGCAAATTCAGCCTTGGCTTGCATGGAAGTTTTGCTAGAATACAAACCTATTTCTGAATCAACTGAGGCATATCCATTTGAGTCTACCTGGCGAGTAATACAAGAGGTAATCTGTTAAAATTGTTGTTGCTGAGCTTGCCATTTTCTTATGTTGTGAATGATATTAACTTTGTTTCCTTATTTGTCGATAGCAATTTGTGCTTAGTTCATCGGGATAGCAAAACCCGAATCACTTGATGGATTTCGAATCTGTCTGCTCAGATTGGAGCAGGTTTCTTTTAAAGTAGATGTGAGAGGGGTGGACCCCCCGCCCCCTATAGTGGGTATGAATGTATAATCATTGTTGTCACGCTCTGCATTGTTCCATTATTTGTGATTTCCATTTTACCCTTATATTACAACTATTAAATGGGTAAAAATGTGAGATTGTGTTTTACGAAAAAAATAATATATTTAATATTCAGACAATTGTGAAAAATGTTTTAGTTTTATGTTTAATTGGTTTTTGAAGAAACTTGTATATTTACTAGCCTTGTAAAAAGTTGAAATATTAGAAGTAATTAGCATTAATCAAATAAAGGAAAGGCAAGGCAAGGTGGGGATGGATCTATACAACATCCATGGAAATGGTAGTAGTTTTCAGCATTTATACATCCACAGTGGAACTGGAGGGTGGTGTTTTAGAGCATGCTAACGGTGGAGCAGTGGTAGATTTGACAACATCTTCCTGTGTCCCATTCCATTATCATCTCTGTTAGTGCAATCTTTTCTTCTGCTGAGCCATCGATTATTTTTTGCCAGGTTCGTAAAAAGTTGAGTGCATTTTGGCCAACACTTACAGATGAACTGCCAACAACATTGACCAATCAAAAAGCTCCTCCTGTAAGATTTTTTTCATTTTGATTGCAAAATTACCATCATGCTTTCATCATGTCAAATTTGGATAGCCGTTATTAGTAGATTAGCATGTTTTATTAAATTTGTCTTATTTAGATGATTTTAAAATTCATTAGCACTAAACATTAACGTAAATGCAACAATTAGTTATTTCTCTTATAACTGCTAAAAAAGGAAACATTTTAGGGTTTTTGTTAATAAGTTTAGCACATATAATGTTATTTGTTACCCCTATACATCTTTCTTATATAGTTGTTTGCAATGCAGCATGTTTTACTGTCAAGCTCTGAATCTGAAGATGAGGTTGATGAAGCTTCGGAAATCATATCAAAAGACCTAGTTCAAGCTATTGAGGATGTTGTAGAACCCCTTTTAAAGTTGAGGATTGAAGATTATCATGGTAATAAAGTGAAGACTATGCTGTTAAGTTTTTTTTTTCTCTTTGTCTCTATCTATAGCAAAAATAGGCTTTCTGAAAAAATTGACTTTTGCATTTATAGATGTTTGTTTGACTGACAAGTGACAATTAAGTGGTTAAAGGAAAACCACTTAGCAATAAACTGAAAGTAAGACAATTTTTGGGGAAAATTACACAATTTTCAAGAACAACCTGTGATTACAACTTTTCTTTCCCCTTGTTCAGTGGGTAGTGGAGCAAATAGTGGTGAATTTCTAGTCAAGCTAGGTTTCTTCAGCCTAGAAAGACATCTAGCACTCTTTGTTGCTTGGTCCATTGTGGGCTTGCTCTTTCATTGGGCCTTAGCTTGTGCCTATGTTAGTATAACAGTGCACGTTAATTGAGGATGAATCTTTGTTAAACAATGGTCGAGGCTGAGTCCACCTTGACAATAGTTTTAGGTCAAGAATAGTACATCTAGTTGATTTTAGGTGCAAGATAGAAGGTTGAGAGTCCTGTCATGGCCATCTAGGCCTAATTTGGCAATGTTTAGATTGCTTGAGTTGCTGTTGTTTGACAATCTTTTTTTTTTTGGTTATGTGGGCCTTGCAAAAGTTTTAGTTTAATATTAATATTAATAGTTTTAAATATTTTAATAACTATGTCAAGACTATTATTTGACGAATGTGCAAACTTTTCAGAAAATAACCAGATAATAGATAAGATAATATCTTTTGTTTTCCCTCCGAAAAATACCATTTAAAAAAATATGTCTTTCTGAAAGTCTATTTTTGCAAAACTAGTAAGTCTTAATTTTATTTGAAATAATAAACTCCATGTTGAGTGCAGGTCAAGTAACTAGTGCCTCGTGGAGATCAAAGCTATCCAAGACAGACATCTGGTATGCCAGTTTCGGAACAAATATGTGGAAGTCGAAGTTCTTCTGCTATATTGAAGGCGGACAGGTTCGCATTTTTTTTATAAAGAAGGATGAACTAAATCAATTATGTTTTTAGTTTTGGTAGCCTCTAGACTTTAACTAATATCATAACCATGATTACACCTGATAAAGTCTGTGTTGTGTTTGTGTATTTTTCCATGTTGTAATTGTGTTTGATATATATGTTTATATAAATTTAGATATGGTAATACTTCATTTATATAAATTTTGAGATATTCATGTATTTGTGTTATTTTTTCCTGTTATTTTGTGTATTATACTATGTTTTAGTTATCTTCTTTTCATGTTGGGTCTATATTTTTTATCTAGGTATTGTCATACTAAACTCTGTTTCTATTTGGCAGGCAGAAGTTGAAAAAATTGATCTGTTTCTTTTAGTTTTTCCATATTATTGAAGCATGCCTTTGTCCAATACCTTTAGAAGTCCTGTATCTTGAATTAAATAGTGTTTTTGTGAGTAGTTTCTTAAGGTTTGCATAAGAGGAATGGGTCTCCATTTTAGCCACTTTTCATTAACTCCTTTCACTGGGAAACATATTGGGTTTATTAATCTGGATCTGAATGCTTCCAAAAAGAGCATAAGAATGCACTATATTTGTTTATGTGAATATCTGTTGTGTTAGCTTTTACTATCGATATTGTTTATGATTTGATGTCCTTTGCTATGGTACATGGACTTGTGTGTGAGTATCGAATACGGATATATTGTTTATGGTTTGAGCCACTTCTTCCCCTCCCTCTCTTTTTCCTTTTGCTTATCCCACTTTAACCTATCTAGTGTTAATCACTAAATTGTAAATATGATTTTAGGTCATAGGTATGAAAAAGCCTTGTTCTGGTTCAATGGATAGAAACCCTCCAAAGGAGACTCGTTGGAAAACATTTCCGCATCGTCTTTTCTTTGGTCGTGATTTTACACAAACTTGGGGTCCCGGAGGGGTTGCTTTCCTCGATCCTCTAAGCAACAATGAAGAAAAAGCATACATGTGCCTCTATAAAATTACGTAAGTTCTTCCATATTGCACTTTAATAATTCAAATTTCATTTTCTTTATGTAGATGGTAACTTCAATCTAAGTTGCAATTCTTAAGAAACAACTCTTGAATCCTTTGGATTAGCCTGCTTGAGTCATAACCCTATTGAAATTATCTTTCTTTCGCATCTTAAACAGGTTAGAGCAGTTCAATGATGTTTTGCTGCAGGAAAATTTTCCAGATAATGATATGAATTCTCCTTTATTCGATCTAATTGCGTTGGACTCAATCCCGTATGAAGAATCACATATTGTGGAGGCTGTCAAGGTAATTCATGTATATGCTGTTAATATTTTTGGGTTTATGCCGTCTTACAAGAAATTTCGTTGCTCGTGCAGAGGGGATGGTACCATAATGTTGTTTACCTCGGAAAGGAAGATGATATACCTGTACTGACTATGACGTATGCTTAAATGCACTCTCTTTGCAACTCTATTTTCATTCGCTATAAGTCATCTTTTACCTCTTTGTACAATATATGTTTACATTTTCGTTTATTTGATTATGTTCAGGTGTCCACACTCTGCAATTGAAAGCTTTAAGTCCGGAGAGATTCCTTTACATGCTCCTAGTAAAGATTATGCCGACACCTTGATAAGAGGCCTCGTCGAAGGCAAGCAACTATCGGAAGAGGAGGCGACAACTTACATTCAGGTAGCATCTACAAAGCCCTTATGATTGCTGATTGCAACTCCTTGTTGGCATATTTTAGATGCTAATTTCTGAAGTATTTAGCCATTAACGGTACAGAATTAAGGAATTCTTGTTGCTCGAACAGTTGACAATATATGATATTTGATAGGGTAAATTCTTGATGTTATGTGGGCTTTGTCCATTTTGTGTATTTGGTTAGTATTCAAGGGGATGTATAACTTAACAAATCTTTAATCCTGTGTTGACCTATGTTACCTAATTTCAAGTGTGGTGGATATAGGCATACGTTTGATATTATTATTGTTGTTATATGGAGGAATTGGTGGATGTAAGTGTGGTTTAGCGTTAAGTGTTAACTTTGAAGTTGGTTTTTTTTAACATTCTACTGTTTATTATTATTATTATTATTATTATTATTATTATTATTATATGGAGGAATTGGCGGATGTAAGTGTGGTTTAGCGTGGGTAAGTGTCCACTTTGAAGTTGAATCTCTTTATATTAATTATTCATTTTATTGATGGTATTCACCTTGAATTTTTATTTATACCTATTTAATACGGATTTTTTTATTGTTAATATATATGTATACCCTATAAAATAATTTTGGATCCGCTATTATCGAATATTCCTCATATTTATATTTGAATGTATCAAATACATATGTTGGGTAGATGTGTAATAGAGACTCCTAAACTACTTGAATTCGATGTGAAATAAAACCCAACTTGAATTTGATGGTCATTAAGCTGGAGGCTAATCATTTTTCATTAATAGTGAAAGATGTCAATTTGAATTTAGATTTGAGCTAAAAATCGTACCAAGGAATCAAGTAGAATTTTTTTCTTGAGTTTTATATGTGAGATTTGACTTTCATATTTATAACTAGGTTGTAAATAAGATTAGATAGTTTGTGAGTTATTTGAGATTAATTCGGTTAATACTCTATAAATATTCGACTCGAATGTACTTCACTTTATCTCGAGTTCTTAACGAGTTGAAATGAGTTATTTGATATTCGATTTGAAAAGTTCGCGAACATTTACAAAAAATAATGTATTGAAAATTTAGTTTTAAAAATTAAATGATTAATAATATTGATATTTATGTGTTGATTTTAAAAAATACAATACAAGGTTTTCATATACTTAAGGTTTATGTTCGAGTTTGAGTTTAAACTTCAATCGGGTCAAGTTAAAAAAAAAATATCTCAAGTTTTTTCGTGTTTCAATTCATGGTATTGAGTTTGAGTCGAGCTTAAAAAGTTTAATCTCGTGAATTTTTGAACCAATTGAGTTCAATTTTAGAGTTTTTGAGTCGAATCAAACTCAAAAATACTCAAACTCGATTCGATTCATTTACAGTCCTATTTTTAACATGAGTTTGATTCATTTTGATTACACCTATGATGTTGAACATGATACTTTTAAAGAAAAACATTTAATACTTCAATTTTTTTTTCTTTTTACATCAAGGCTCCTTATGGTATGGAAAAGGGAAACAAGTGAGAATAGAAAATTTGTTAATATAATCCGTTAAATTATAAAATACGATGTAATTGTGGTTGATAATTCTTTTCTTCCTTTAATAAAGCAACGTCTTAGTCATTGTATGCAGCTATCATTTGTAATCTAAGATATAAACAAGATAAGAGTACGAGTGAGAATTTCATCGAGTTAAGTAAAATAATTTTGAGTTATTCGAATTGACGGAGTATTTCATCGAGTTGAGTAAAATAATTTTGAGTTATTCAGTTGACGGGTTATATTTTATGACTCAAATTTATTTTTAATTTTTTTTGAGTTGTGTCAAGTTGAGTCGAGATGAATTGAATTGTTTAAGTTTATATACAAATGTAATTGTAATTATTAAAATATTAAGGTACATAATAACATATTGATTCTATTTTTTTTTGACTTTTTCTAATCATATAAGATATATATATCTTCATATTCTTTTTCACATTATAATATTATTTAATAAATCAAATACAACTTAAAATTATAAAATATATTTATAATAATTTTGTAACCCTTAGATCATGCCTAGACGTTATGACCCAATCTCTAAGAACACACTAATTCAAATTATCAAAAATCATGAAATTTTCAGATTACAACATGCATCGTCAGAAAATCAATTTGAACTTATAAATAGAAATAAGAGTCTATAAAATAAAATATAATATGAGATTAAAGTTCAACATAAGTAAATATATATTATCTCAAAATCTCAATATAATAATATAATATTAACAAATAATAAAAATAAAAATATAGTTTGAAAACGTTCATACGATATCTAATAAATAATACTACTAGTCGATCCTCCAAATACCAGTAAAAGATTCTAAAGGTCTGAGAGATCTGAAAAGACAAAAACTAAAGAGTTGGCTATGGAGCTCAGTGTGTCCTTTAACTGTAACAGATAATGACAACAAATCACAAACAATTTAGTCATATTAGAAAATGCAAATTATAACTCAAGTAGTAGTAAACCAATTGATCATTGTTAGAATATTGTCAAAATAGAAAATTCATACAACTTGACCTTTCGTTGTAGATAAAACAGAATGACGATGTTACCCTTCAAAGAGGTACCCAAATCATAATACATAAAATTAGGATGAAAATGTAGCCCTCCGCAGAGGATCCCAATTAGAATCAGAATGAGGATATCACCCTCCGTAGAGGATCCCAAGCAGAATCAGAAATCAAAATAAGGATATAGCCCTTCGAAGAGGATCCCAAAAAGAAACAGGACGGGGATATGATCCCATGAAGAAGCAAGTATGCATCAATATACAAATTTAAAATGATACAAATGAAATTAGAAATTAGACATATCACATATAGTCATAATTAAATATGAATATGCTTACAAATAATATCACACATTCATTATTAAAGGTATCATACGGGTTAAGAGGACACACCTATAGCAGCTAAACAATACCAGTTAAGCCTTATGCTTCCAACGATCGGTAGTACTAGGTCTTACGGAATGGTGACCTAAAAATAACACATCACTCCATGAGTAGGAAAATCATACATCTAAACAGAAATATATTATTATGTCACTTAACAACATTTACGTGAATCTCAAGACGAATGTGCAAAATTGAACTGAGTTGAACAAGGGTGGACGGGGTCTGACGGAGAGCGATGAGGAGACACAGGATCACTTCAGACCATAACACTAAAAAGTGCATCCAAAATCTTATAATTTACTTATCATGATTATGACTTTAAGTGATAAATGATGCAAAACAAGGATTTCGAGTTAGAATTTGGTAAAATAGATTGCGGAAACAGACTGAGAATGTCAAAAAACATTAAAGGTAGAGATCAAAAAGAAAAAGTCAACGAAAAAAGTCAATGGTCAAAGTCAACTAGTTTGGTTCAGTCAATGATTCAATTTGGTTTTAAATCGGTTCAGAATCAAACTAGTTCGGTTAAACCAGTCAATATTTCAAACATGCTAGAATAGACCCACAAGTGCAGCGGCGGCTCGTTTGGCGCTTGGAGGCCCCTCTGGTTGTCAGAAAATTATGAAAAAAATATAGAATTGTATTTTAGGACACGACGAGTAACTAACAAGCATCGATTTCCATAAAAGAACGATGAAGATACGCTATTTTGCAAAACTCAAATCTTCTATTCAATTAAAAATAATGACGCCGAAGGTGATGGATAAACCGACACCACCAAACGAATAGAAATGATGAGACAGAGATAATACGTCGACGGAGAGAGTCAGTTAATATGATTGGTGGTAAATCGAGGCCAAACTGTAACAATAATATATTTAGAAAGAAGAAGAAAACAACTAAGGGAGTTTCAGAAAGAAGGGAAGGAAAAAAAGGAAAGAAAGGAAAAGTGTGGATTTCCTTAATTTATTTTTGGGTTAATTGCCTTAATAACCCTTAAACTTTTAGAATTTTTTAAAATTACACCCTAACTTTCAAAAACTTTAAATTAGTCTAAAATTTGGGATGTTTCAAATTTCTCCCTTAAGAAAATTTCGACCTCAAAATTTTACCTGACGTAAAAGACGAGGGAACTGATTCTCCATAGATTTCTGAGTCCCCCAAGTGGCCTCCACAAGATTACAGTTACTACACAGTACCTTAACCATTGATATACGTCAACTTCTCAGAACTCAATCCTCATAGGCGAGAATTTGAATAGGCTCCTCCTCATAACTAATATTAGATCTCAGTTCAAAATCTTTAACATAAATAATATGAGATGGATCAAAACGGTAGCATCTCAACATAGAGAAATGAATGACACCATGAATGCACTTAAGCTATGAAGGTAACTCAAGATGATAAGCATATAGTCTAACTCGACGTAGAATCTGATAAGGTCCAATCAACCTTGGAATCAACTTGCTTTTACAGCCAAACTTGATAACCTTCTTCCAATGAGATACTTTGAGAAAGACTCAGTCACCCACATTGAACTCGGTATCCCGTCTCTTCAGATCATCATAAGATTTTTTGTCTATCAAATGCAACCTTAAGTGTGTCTCGAATCAACCTAATTGTACCATCGGTCTCTTGAATAAGATTGAGTCCTACAACCCTCCTCTTAGACAACTCATTCCAACATAGCAGAGTATGACACCTATGACAATACAATTACTCATATGATGCCATTTGTATACTGGTCTGATAACTGTTATTGTAGGCAAACTCAACCAATAGCAAGTGATCCTCCCAACTACCCCGAAAATATATAATACATCATCTCGACTTGTCCTAAAAATTATGAATAACCCGCTCAGACTGACCATTAGACTACGAGTGATAAGTCATACTAAAGTTCAATCGAGTACCCAGAGCCTCTAAAGATCCTTCTAGTTTTGTGACATAAACCTTGGATCTTGATCAAAAATAATAGGAAAAGGAACCTCATGAAGGCGAATAATCTCAGAAATATACAATCGATCTAATTTTTCAATGTATAACTAGTATGAATATAGAAAATTAGAATGAGGATGTAGCTCTCCTTAAAGGATCCTATTAAGAATCAAAATGGGGGATATTGTCATCCATAGAGGATCCCAAGTTAAATCAGAGATTAGAATAGGGATATATCCCTCCGAAGAGGATCCTAAACAGAAATAAGACGGGGTTTAATCCATTATAAAAATAGGACGGGGATATGATCCCATACAGAAAACAACTATGCATCAATATACAGATTTAAAATAATACAACCACAATAAGAAATCAGACATATAATAGATAATCA